CCCAAACCCCCAAACCCTAAAGCCCTAAACCCTAAATCCCTATGCCCTAAAGCCCTAAACCCTAAACCCTAAACCCCTAAACCCTTAAACCCTAAACCCTAAACCCTAAATCCCAAAGCCCTAAACCCCTAAGCCGCTGAGCCCAGGCAAGTCGCTGCTGCCCCAGGTCACCCGGAAGGCACTGGAGAAGGTGACCTTGAAGCTGCCTGGCAGCTCTACTTAGGGCTTTAGGGTTTAGGGTTTAGGGTTTAGGGCTCAGGGTTTCTTTATAATTAGAATAGGGGTTTAGGGTTTAGGGTTTAGGGTTTAGGGTTTAGGGTTTAGGGCTAGGGTTTAGGGTTTTGGGTTTAGGGTTTTAGGTTTTGGGTTTAGGGTTTAGGGTTTAGGGTTTTAGTGTTTTAGGGTTTAGGGTTTAGGGTTTGGCCATTTAGGATTTAGGGTTTAGGGTTTAGGATTTAGGGTTTAGGGTTCAGGGTTTAGGGTTTAGGGTTTAGGGTTTAGGGTGCTCTACGATCGCAGGGTTGTAGGATTCAAAACGAGGGGTTCCGCAAGGCTCATGTCTATTATTGCTATCATTCGTAATCCTATTCTTATGATTACCAACACTATTTTGGGAGAGTCCTTATTATGCTTTTAGTATCAGTATAATATACTCCACAGCCCGATTCTGATTATTAAAGCCCCTACATATTCTAATTATCAAGGCTCCTACAAACCCCAAACCCTAAACCCTATTGATTTATTAAAGCTCCTACAAACCCTTAACCGCCTAAACCCCAAAACCCTATTCTGATTATTCAGGCTCCTACAATAAAGTGGCTACCCATAGGCCCCATAGTAGTTCCGTTTGGGGACTACCTTATAGGATTCTAAACATGAACCTCGGAAGGGACTACTATGGGGCCTAAGTGGCTAAGGTTCATCCCCTAAACCCTAAACCCTAAACAACCCTAAACCCTAAACCCTATTTTGATTATCAAGGCTCCTACCCTAAACCCTAAACCCTAAACGCTATTTTGATTATTAAGGCTCCTACAATTAAAGTGGCTAAGGTTCATCCCCTAAACCCTAAACAACCCTAAACCCTATTTTGATTATTAAGGCTCCTACAATAAAGTGGCTAAGGTTCATCGACACCTCTTCCAAGTTCGGACATGGCCGCTTCCAGACGAGCGACGAGAAGGACCGTCGCCGTCTGTGCAGTTGGTGTAAGGCTTTAGGCTTCATAGGGGTTTAGGGCTTACGGTTTAGGGGTTTAGGGCTTTGGGGTTTAGGGGTTAGGGCTTTAGGGTTTAGGGTTTTTTGGGGGGTAGTTGGTTTAGGATTTAAGGCTTTAGGCTTCATAGGGGTTAGGGGCTAAGTTAGGGCGTAGGGTTTAGGGGTCAGGGTTTGGGGATTTAGGGCTTTAGGGTTTAGGAGTTAGGGGTTGAGGGTCTAGGGCTTTAGGGTCTGGGGTGGTTGTTTATAGTTTATGGTTTAGGGCTTATAGGGTTTAGGGCTTTAGGGTTTTGGGTCTATAGTCTAGGGGTTTGGGGTCTTGTGCTTTGGGGCTTTCGGGTTCAGGCTTGTAGGGTTTAGGATTGGGCGTTGAAAGGCTTACCGGAAGGGTCTCAGCCTTTAGCAATCGCATGCTCTCCCAAATACTGCTGTCCTACTGTCCTAAACCCGAGTACCCTAAACCCTAAACCAGTAGAACATTCTATTTTGGTTCGGGCAAGTTTCCATACTGGTACTTCGGACCCTGCGCGTTCGAGTTTAGCAACTCTGTGACGTCACCGTTTGGGAGAACCTGGGATGTCTCACAAAAACCCGTGAAGTTTTATGCCGGTTTACGGTTATTAGGGTGAAGTATAAGGGCTTAAATAAGTACCTCCACTATCTTGGCAGCTCCTCATTATATAAAATATAGCCTAAACCCTAAACCCAAACCC